ATTTTGTTTTAAGTGGTGTTATCAAACAGATTATTAAGTAAAAGTTTGGAGCTTGTTTTTAAACCTCTTTTTACTCTCATTTAAATTTGAGTCAAGTTTTGAATAAGGGTCAAAAATATTCCAAGAATAATAGAAAAGAGAACGATTATGCTGCCATAAGAGTCGGTCATAACTTGTGTGCCTAGCGGTGGACTGGTCCTTAACCACTTTGACAAACCCACTTTGTTCAATGCATATCAACTTCAAGCTTAACAGTGGCATAAAATGAGAAAAAATGTTGATTTGTGAGAATCTAAATTCACCCCAAAATATGTTTTTTCTGAATTTCTCCCGTGAGGCAGCAGTGGGCAATGCTGCAGGGAGATAGAAGGTCCACGAATCGTAAACTTCTTTTCCTAGAGAAGAAACAATGACAGTATCTAGAGAATAAATATCGGTTCACTCTGTGTCAGCGATCGCAATAATACAAAGAATACAATTACAATTTGAAATGATTGGATGTAAATCATCTGCAGGTGACTTTTTAAATTTGTCATCAAATCACTCGAAGCAAATTAAAGTTAAACTACTCATATAAGTAAGTATTTTTTTAAGACATGATATATAATCCATCATCGAAGAAGAAAAAAAAGGACCTTTAAAAGGAATCCAACCCTTGTTCATGAGCACCTTAACATGATCCACCAATCACCATGGAAAAAGGGCCAAGTACAATAGAAATGATACTGTAGAATTCACTATTCCTGTTTTCCATATCCAAATAACGCTCATCGAACAAGTAGCAATATACTGTATAAATGACGAGGCACCCAGCAATGTATTAGGCAAATTGATGCTATACTTCTTGACATCTTCCCCACCGACTCTCATAATGAGGAGGTAAATTACACCTAAGAGTTCCAAGAAGAATGAAACAGAAATTAGGGTAATGATTGGAAAGTACTAGTCCGAAGGCACACATGAGTGCTCATAATTTTGGTTGATATGATGCCCTCCCTTTGAAGGCATCATATAAAGTGAGTAAAACCTAATAATGACCAGCGTGGATAATCATGTCCCCATTCACTATATTTTACTCGTGTGTCACCTATCCACCAACTTTTATGGATGGATTAGTATGTTTACATCCTAAATTTTAATGAAAATGACCAAGACTTTTAATATTTCAAAAATGATATAGAATTCCCTTATTGAAAAAGTCATTAATGGAATATCCATTTTACCCTTGTGGGTTTAAAAAGTTATTAAAACTTTTGTTCTCAAAACAAATATTGTATAGGGAGATCACTCCAAATGATAAAGAAAATCCGTAAAACAAATATCATCTAATATATACAAATTAATTCCTTGCTTTTTTTAGTTTTATAGTAGACGATGCTAGAAACTAACTGGTCTAGGTTGTAGAGTAGGATCATATGAAGTCCAATAAATGTATGGATGTGTGAGTGGGTGTATGTATGGATGTGTGAGTGGGTGTATGTATGTGTGTGCGTGTGTGTGAAGGTGTATGCTATGGATGATCAACGACGTAAAGACAAAGTATAAGTGGTTCGCCTTAACTAAGAAATTAAGGTTACATTCATTGTAAGATAGGTTTTTGGTCCTTGAATATTATATTACTTAGAGAAGAAGGTGATCGTAGCAGAAAATTTGAATTAAAACTGTTACAAGGTATTGCTTGATTCTCTCTAATTAACTTACTTGGTGCTCTCCCCTTTGTGCCCTATAGTATTTATACTATTGATGGATAGGGTTCCACGTTTTTTCTTCTTGGCTGATCCTATGGTTCCTTCTGTTACTGTTTTCATCTTGGTGTTGTGGGCCCTAGAACATTTCTGTGTCCACTACTTATAGTCTGCTATACTTGAATCGTCTCCATTACTTCTGGGTTTTAGTTCATCAGAGCTATTCATGTGTCGTGTTGCAATTTTCACATTCATCTTGTGCCAAGCTTCTATTCGCTAAATTGATACCCGTACTTAGCTTGTTAATCCCGAACTTCCTTGAAATTGGCCTGCAGCCCACTTTGAGTCCAAGGGACGTTGTTTGAGTGGGCTTCTTGAGCTGCTTCCTGCCAACCCAAAGGATCTTGGGTTCTAAAGGGACGCAGACATTAAATTAGTCATTATCAATAGTCATTCCTTCTGAAAAAAAAAAAAAAAAGATCTTATTTTGTTGGAATTGAATGTTGTCGGATTTGAATCTTGTAGTCCTAAGCCATTGATCTTGAAATTTAATCAAATGGCTGCTTTTAATGTGATCACCATACAGCAACGTCAATCACTACTCAATGAAATCAAGCGGAGGAAGCACACTAGTGCAATAGTACACAACACTCAAAATTAATTTTTTATTATTTGATTTATTTGGAGAATGAAGATTTAAAATAAAAAGAAATATCTACTATGCGAAATATTTGTCACTTCACATTTGAGAATAGTCATATATACATAATTTTGCTTGCAAAAATTTATTTTCGTAGATTAAATTCTCATTATCCACGTCATAATAAAATTATCTATATCATTGCTCGCTCGAGATAATAAATTAGAGAGATAAAAAACGAGCGTTGACATGAACTTTTGAAATTTTTGAAACTTTGTTTTACAAAATGGATGCCCTCAAGACATACAACCAATGTCCTATTATACAACCATAGGTGGTTGTTTGACTTGTTAATTAAAAAACCGTGAATAGGGTTTATTAAAATGTTAAAAAATTGGATTAGCGCTTGTTTAAGCTACCATTGTGTCCATACGAAACAATGTAGCTCAGGTGTATTGAATAGTCCTTGTGTACATTATAGAAAGGAAAAGTGGGCCCCATTGCCTTGATAGCTGACCGTTTAGGATCTGATCCATTTGGACCGTTACAAAAAACATTTCAAAAAATTCAAAAGGGTATAATAGTTTCTAGCACTCCAGCTTTTGGTCTCACCACTCCACTTGATACCATTAGAACAAAGAACAAATTTGGGGATGGAGTGAGAAAAGCAATATGTGAGTGCTTTTATCACTTTCCTTCAAAACCCCCTCCCCCGCTTTACTGGTAACCGTTAATCTCATAAAATCAACGGCTCAGATTTCTCCCCCATAAACCCCCTGAATCATACCAAGTCTAGATCTTCCCTCTCTTGCTTCTAACCTTCCCTCTCGCTTCAAGACCCTGTTTAGCTTCATCTACCGTACTGTCATTGCAAACTTCCTTTGATTTTCCAACAAATTCTTGGGTTTTCCGGGGAAATTTTTTGAGTTTCTTGCAATCCAATCAGGTCCAGACACTGGGTCTCCAAGAAACGCACGAGGGCATGTTTGGATAGCGAGGTACTAATAGCATGCCAGTGTCAACAAGGTCTCAGATCATCAACAACCCAGGACAGAATGAGCCAAATCAAGACAACAGAACCAGACCCAAGACAGATCAAGAAGAGACCCACATGGCTCACCCATTGAGAAACCCACACCATGGACTGAAAGAGAAAATGAAAGCTTTGACCCTCTTGTATGAGCAGCAAAAACAAGCCTCTGCTTCTGTCAAGGACCCTTCTTTCAAATCCGAAGAGTCAAGATTTTCAACTCATCCGAGCATAGACCTTCTTAGTTCTGGCAAAAGAGCAGAATCAAAACCCAAAGAATCAAAACCCATAAGCCATGTGATGAGAGAGAACATAATGCCTAGTTCCACAGTGACAAGGACTTATGTGTTGCCACAACCACCAGTGGTGGAGGATGCTAAGGAGAACGTGGCCGTGGGCGGTGGTGATCGGATTGTTGGGTTTTCATGTCCAAGAAAGGCTAATATGTCGAGTACTGTGGCGAGAAAGCTCTCAATGGGAAGCTCAGTAGTGCCACAGACAGAGCCAAGAGAGATTGGAGGGACTAACAAGGAGAATGTGCAAGAATTGGATACTATTTCAGAGAAACCGGGTGTTGGTAATAGAATTCTTGTTTTTGTGAGGCTTAGGCCTATGGCCAAGAAGGAGAGAGAAGCTGGATCAAGGTGTTGTGTTCGGATTGTCAACAGGGGTGATGTTTACTTGACTGAATTCGCGAGTGAGCACGATTATCTGAGGCTAAAGAGGCTTCGTGGGCGGCATTTTACCTTTGATGCTTCATTTCCTGATTCCACCTCTCAACAGGAAGTCTATTCCACAACGTGAGTTCAAAAGTTTTTCCTTTTCTGTTGGTTTTTTATTTACTCAATTTTATCTTCATTTAAGGAATCTAAACCTATATGTTTGAGTTTTAATTGTAGCATAACCACCCATTACCATGTTGCTGTTTATGTTTAGTTTTAGGATTCCATTTTCTTGAAGGTCAGATTTTGTAGCACAAACTTGGCTCTAAAGTTGTTGCCTCGCCTGAATTTTTTTTTTCCTTTGGCCCCAAAACTATCACACCTGTTTACGTAAAATTTGATGGTAGTTTAAGTCCCTGAGGCAGCTGATGAATCAAACTCTTCACTGCCCAATTTTTCTGTTCATAAGAAGAGTTTGGGGGATATATGGTTCTCAATTTCGTGTTACAATTCTTATTTACTTTCAATTCTTCATTTTCACATAATAATAATAATTTAATCCAGCTAAATTATATTGTGCATGTGGCTTCAACACCAGTGAACACGGATTAGACTATCCCAGATTCTCAAGAAGTGAATAGTAACCCCAGCTTTGATTTACTAAGAAAAAAGTTGACCAAACTAAAGGTTTTTATTCCTTTGTCACAGTTCTTAAGTCTTGAATCCTTTCTTCTGGAGATTTGATCTTGCAATTTGACAGTAGGTGCTATCGTAGCTACCCGAGACAAAATAGAAAATCAATTCAAATTCAAGTTGCTATAAAATTGTGCTTTCCATGAATGATAGTTTAGAGCAAATTCTTTTGTGAAAATGAGGAACTTGACGGAATATCATTCATTTTTTCAGAACTGCAGAGCTTGTGGAAGCAGTTTTGCAAGGAAGGAATGGGTCAGTCTTCTGCTATGGTGCCACGGGAGCTGGGAAGACATATACGATGCTTGGTACTGTGGAGAATCCAGGGGTTATGGTATTGGCTATAAAGGATCTTTTCAACAAAGTTAGGCAGAGAAGCTTTGATGGAAACCATGTGGTTCATTTATCCTATCTTGAGGTCTATAACGAAACTGTCAGAGACTTGATTTCCCCTGGCAGGCCTCTAGTACTTAGAGAAGATAAACAGGTCTGTGTCCAATTGTGTGTGATACGTTCTAGGTAGGATTCATGGTAACTTGTTGATGAGAAATTATACCTAAGGTTCTACATCTGTCACATTCAAATTCTTTTCCTAACCGGTAATCAACTTTCATATTGTTTATTGTGACACATTAGTCTTCATATTGGATCAGAGTTGTATGTAATATTTTGGCCAGCTTTAAGAGAAGCGTTTAGCTCACCACATTTATTCCTGCTGTAGCAGCGCAGGAAGAAAAATATTTCCATCAGACTTTCCACCGGGAGAAAAACTTTTGAATGCTAAATCTATCTATCCTAAGTTTTCAGTGTAATTTCTCTGACGATAGAAGCTACAACTTTGTGCAAGTTCTGAAATGTTCAAACATTTCTCTCTCTACCGATACCATACACAGTAGATTTTTCAGTGTGATTTATACCTAACGTATGCACAATTGTAAAGTCTCTTTCAACCAATTAACTCGGCCATAATTAGTTTTAGATAAACAGTTTTATCCCCCTCCCCTCTCCCCTCCCATTCTGGATTACACACCTCCCCCTTCCTAAATTCATTTCTTTTGGGTATAGCTGACAGCTAATTGTCACATACATTTCAGGGGATCGTGGCAGCAGGTCTTACTCAATACAGAGCTTATTCTACAGATGAAGTACTTTCCCTACTTAACTCTTCAAATAGCATAGAAAGTTGCAATTTTGTCGATGGAACATAAAATTAAATGTCTGAGAATGTATGACTATTACAGGTAATGGCATTACTTCAACAAGGAAATCAAAATCGGACAACTGAACCAACTCGTGCCAATGAGACTTCTTCACGTTCCCATGCTATTTTGCAGGTAGGTGCAAGGATTCTTTTGCTTTTAAAATCTTCTATCAACCTTATGCTATGCTCAAATGGCTGATTTCTTTCTGAATAGGTTGCGGTTGAATATCAAGTCAAAGATGAGTCGAACAATGTTGTCAATCGAGTGGGAAAGCTGTCACTTATTGACCTTGCTGGTTCAGAGAGAGCTCTTGCTACAGATCAGAGAACACTTAGATCACTTGAGGGGGCTAACATTAATAGGTCACTCCTTGCACTGAGCAGCTGTATTAATGCCCTTGTTGAAGGCAAAAAACATATCCCTTACCGTAATTCGAAACTCACTCAACTGCTAAAGGACTCTCTAGGGGGAGCTTGTAACACTGTAATGATTGCCAATATCAGCCCAAGCAATCTCTCATTTGGCGAAACCCAAAACACCCTTCATTGGGCTGATCGAGCAAAAGAGATCCGAACCAAGGTTCATCTTCCAAGATTCTCAATCTTGCAGCTTCATTCTTTCTCTTTATTGCCTCGGTTAACTTGCTTAAGCTGATACACATTTCACAAGTTCGGAATTTCGTTTGTGCACTCTCACAAATGGTATGACTAATTCTGCTGTAGCTTCAGGTATTCGAAGTGAGAGGACAGATGCATTCTTTCCTATAGCATGTATTGCTTCTTACATTTGCAATGCCTTTATAATATCTAAACTAGAGGTTCTGCCAAACTTTTAGGATCAATTGCCCATAAACTGGTGCTAGAAATTCCTGAAGTTTTTGCGATTTTAGCACTATGGCTTCCCTTCTCTTTTTTGCTTTAGCAGTGCATTATAGTATTTTTTATTATGGAGGTATTTATGCATTAATTTGCTTTGTGGTTAAAAATTTTGTGGAACTCACTTGTTAATTTGTTTAGTTATTAGAGGAAGATTATAGTATGTGACACTGCTGACCTAATGTAACAGTTATGATAAATTTTTTCAATCCAATGTATGGGAATGGCTGGGTTAGGTTTAGAAGCCCTTTCTAGAAGCAATAAATGTTTTACTGTAAATTTCTTGCTAATTTTGTACCTTCATCACCATATATACTTTCCAATTTATTTCCAAATAGTTTTTGTTTTTATGAATGTGTAGTTCAAACTCGCATTTTTCAATGTAGAAGTGTATTGTTACAACACGCTTTGAAGCGTGTTTTGGAAAAACACATTTGCGCTGAAAATCTTGGGCTAAATCATGGTTTTTTTTAATAAAAACAACCATAATTCAGAGGATTAGTTAGAAATCACGGTATGGGTGGAATAACGAAAGAAAAGAATGGTATTTTGGAAAGGAAAAACTAGCCTTTTCTATGGGTTAAATTGTGGGGAAGGAAATGAGGGATGGGTTTCGGGAGGATTTGAATCCTATCTATGAACTCGGTGCAAATTATCTTGGGTAGATGACTAGATGTGTTTTAGGTTTAGGATTTGGTTAGTGAAGAAGAAGTATAGGTACGAAGTGTTGGGTTTGGGTTTTGGCTCAATTGGTGATATATTTAAAGGATAATTACACTAAGACTTCAGAGATTTGTCACTTAATCATCTAGATCTCGTGCCATTTGAAATATTATACACAGACACTCTAACGTTTGTACGCGGATAACACATAGACACTTGCTGTTAATGTCCATTAATATATCTATTACTAAATTACTTTTAGACCCCTGAAATTTGAAGCATGTAATACTAAGATCTTTTAAGTTTAAAATATTGCACGTAAAACAAAAATATTTCAATTAAAGATAGAATATCAAATATTTAAAATTTTATAATCAAAATTCATGTTCTATTATGTTTTTTATTAAAATAAAATTAAAAAAAAATCCATTTTTTCTTAAAAATCATTATTATTACTGTTGATGTCAAAATTTGGATGGCCTCTACATCAATTTGTTGGATTTTGATCATTTGAAAAAGAAGTTAGAGACCAGAGGGGAGCTCCAAGGATTGATCCTCTGATGCCTAAGTTAGTAAATAACTCAGATATATGAACTGCGTTTAGAAGTTCAGAAGTTCAGAGTGACATATCTTGTTCATCTTGAACTAAGTGGACCCTTTCATCTTGGATCAATTTTTTCATCTTAAAATACAAACATGTGAAATAAGCCTAATCAACATATTTGTATGTTCCATTATATCATCCATTGACATAAAACTCAAACAAAATCTTGATTTTTGAGAAAAAATAATAATAATTAATATAAATATATCAAAGAATTCAATTCAATACTCATTTTCATACAATTATACAATCTATTGTAATAAAATTAAAAAATCAACTAAGGGGTCAAACTATAATAGACACAATATCTTCTATCTTTAATTAAAGTAATTTAGTTGTTTAATAGATTTCTTTACTTCTATAATTAATAAGAGATCTAAGTGTTATACGCCTATAAATTGTAATAGATTTGAGTGTAATTTATTAATAGATATACTAATGACATATGTCTAAGTGTTACACGTGTATAAATTTTAAGAGATCTGTGTGTAATATTTTAAATGTTAAGAGATCTAAATAATTAAGTGACAAACCTCGGTAGACTAGGTGTAATTGTCCCTCTATTTTATGATTTGTCTAAATAGTTCATTTTTCTCAATAAAAACCATCCGTCTAGTTCCATCAAATTTTATGGCGGAAAAGAATCAAAAGCACAATTGTGACCAAATTTATTTTAAGGATTAAATTGAAATCAATAGAATAGTTTAGGGGTGAAACAGATCATTTCATTTGATTTCTAAACACCAACTTTGTATGCCTGCTGGAACATGTGAGCCGTGTTGAAAACAAAGGTAATGTTATCATGAAATGAAAAATGATGAAATAAATAATTTTTTTTATTCTTAGAATTTTTGACAGCTAATCAATTTTTTATTTTTTATTTTTTGATATTTATATAATAAAACAGGAATGTGTTTGAATTTTATTTCAGTCATATTTTTCCTCTCAAAACCATCACCAATCACTTTCCTCACCCATTATCTCTTTGTCAGACTCAAACGTCAAATCATATCACTCATTTCTATCACATATTTAATCATTTATATATTTTCTCCCTAAAGATATCACACAACTCATTTCTATTATATATTTAATTATTTAATATTTAATTAATTTGTAGTTAATATATTTTGAAAAAATTTAATATAGTATAAATGATTTGTTGGATGCTCGAATTTTATATTTTATCGTGTCTTCAGGCACAGGTTATGATTAGTTGATATATATTTTTAGACTTATTTGAGAGAAAATGTATAGATAAATTATTTACTCTATTTAGTTCAATTTTAATAAAACATTTTATGATTATGTATAAAATTCAAATGACATTTTATTTATTTTACTTACTTACCTTTCCTTAAATTATGCATAATTCTTATTCTTTCATTCTCTCTCACTCTCTTCATTACTCTCTCATTCTTTCTTCCCTATTTTCTTTTTATCTCTCTTTGTTAGTCTCTCTTTCTCTCTCCTATTCTCTCTCTCCCATTGATAATTTATTTTATTTTCAAATATATAAAAACTAGCTAATACCCGTACCTGAAAGCACGACCTAATAAAAAAAATCGATAATTTAAAAAACTTTGCATTAGGAAGAGGAAAATAATACACAATCCGTTTAGGAGGCCCAATAAGTTTTTTGGCCTAACAAATTCAAAACATTTCAACATAATTTTCTCTAAAAATAAGATCTTACGAAGATGATAACCTATATTTGCAATTTATATACTTTCTTATCGTACCCTAAAAGTTTCTATAAAAAAATAAATCCTAAAAAAACCTCAACTTAGTGAGGTGAAATTTTATTGATAAATATACTTCTAAAGAAACCAGGGGAAATACAGCCTTACCCCTTACAAAAGTGTTACAACTAGGAGATTTGCTCAAAACAAATTACAAAGAAAAATAAGAAAAATATAAAAAAAGAAAAGGAAAAAAGTACCTCGTCATCTGAAATTACACTGAGCATGCCTTCCCTATGCCCAAAAAATCGCTACCATTTAACACCTCCCCCCTTTTCTATTTAAATAATCATGGTAAAATATCCTTAAGTCTTCTGGTAGCTCACCTATCACCACCTTCACATACATGGTTTGTCTACACTGTCAAGAAGACTTCCAAAAATGGTGGCCCTCGTGCTCACCAGTCCATACTCTACCACCGTCATGTCTTCCATAAAATAATTTGGATCACTGCACATCCAACTGCACCAAAAAGATTGCAAAGTTTATCCAAATTAATTAGAAAGCTAATAATATGTTCAACCATTTCGTTCGGAATACCACTTAAAAAGTTGTCAAAACAATGTCAAACCTTATTATTTTAATGACTTCAACTGACATCAAACCACATTACCGAAAATACAATTCACAAGGCTTCATATTTATAATTCATATGCCGGTGAAGGGATCTGAAGACTTGACAATCCTTGAATACATTGAAAAACCAACCCAGTAGAAACCACATAAAGGATACCAAGTGCTTAGTTATAACACCTAACTGCAGTAGTAACATAGCCAAGGATGTCAATTGCTAGTAAACCTTGAACAAGTCCACTACAAAGTAAAACTATCGTACACCACTATCTTATCATCAGTCTTGTTAGACCTACAAAAACGCAGAAGCCCTGATTTATCTTAGAACAACATTAATCAGAGACTACACAATTAATGACACCCACATCCATAAAAACAATACTCCATCTATTTCTAAATATCTGTCATTTAAGATTTTTACACAGGAATTAAGGAAACTACTAAATAACTCCAATATAAGTAAAAAATAATTACATAAGACTAAAATACTCTTATTCAATACATATTGGGAAGGAAAGGAATATGAAAGGTCATAGCTTACACTTAATCTATTAAGCACTTATTGGAAAACAGAGATAAGAGTAAATTTGGAAGAAAAAATATTTATTATGCTTTGGTTTCATAAAACGATAAATATTTAAGAACGGAGTGAGTATTTTTCGAGATGGCAAACGCACAAAAATTACATCTTTTATGGTTCGTTTGGTACGAAAGATGGAAAGTAAGAAGGAAGGATAAGTGAAAGGAATAAATTTTTCATCTATAAAGGAAAGAAAATTATTTTCTCTTCATTTTGTTTGGTAGGAGGAATGAAAAATAGAATGGATATACTTTTCATCGTTTGGTATTAGATAGAAAATGAAAGGAAAGTAAAAAATATGTACATATAAAATTACTACTTTACCCTTACTAACCTTATAATATATTGAGCACCTAATATTTTTTGCAATGACTCATTTGTGCTAACATGTTAGAAAGCATGTTGCGGAACATTATTGGGAGATGTTTGTGGGGATCCATTATTGGAAATGAATTGCAAGAAAAAATAAGGTCAAAATTCAGTTTTCTTTTGAATATTAGATGAGAATTTTTTTACAAAAATTTATCTAGCCAAATCACCTTTTTTTTTTTATAATAAGAAAATTAGTAAATGTCTAGAAGTAGTGCTTTTCATTTATACACAGTGCTTTTCATTTC